TGTAGGAAATACACTATGGAAATACAACTAGGGAAATACATAGCTGGAACATCTCATGCGATCTAGGGTCTTGTCACGCTCCCATACTTAAGGTGAGAACTGCACAATGGCTAACATTCAGCCAGACAAAAAGGCCAAGGTTTGCATGTATCACAATATCTCCTGTTGAAAGAGTGTGTATTTATAGACGCTGTATCCTGTCTCATCTGTTGCTCTGCCCTTGTGAACAAGAATGTTTTACTGGTGCAGAATAGTTCCAGTAAGATGGCCAAACCTTAACTCCGTAGGTAAGTTATAGGAAGATGTGGTTTCTACAGAACTATGCTCACCTGTAACCTTTCGCCATCTGAACAGCACCTGCAGCTGCACCTTATCTCCACTCCAATCTGGCTCCTCTGTCCACGCGGTCCTCCAGGGAGCAGCCACAAGAGGTTTGGCTGGGGTATGTGGCATCAGTTCAGCGACCTGGCACATCACAAAAAGCAGAGAGGAGATAAACAGGGATCCAACCAAGAATGCAGATAGAGGGCAGTAACAGAGTCCATGTTTATAAGAAATATCCCGATCCTCCAGGCTTTTGTTTCAGACATGCAAAGACCATTTTTAGATATTTATTTAAATTATTAAGCCACATAGCCTTGGGTTGAACTCTAGAAATATTCACTCTTGCCCGAGGCCGATGCTACTCTGAAAATTTTGTGAGCAAATCTTTTCTCTTCCATTATCTCTTTAAGCCACAACTGTTAAAGCTCTCAATTACGAAATAATTAAGACACCATGACTTGTGGATCTAAAGCACATTTACACAGAGTAACTTCTTCATTGAGCAGTTTGTTTCTCCCCCTTATAGCCAGTAGCACACTCAGACTACTAGTCACAATAACAAAAAGTAAAACCTAAAAGTCACGGGAAAAGAAAAAGTTCCCATTTTCTTAATTGTTTTGGATTCGTTATTGTAGGTCTTTTCCTTCTCTTGTGTTTCTTGCCTAGAGAAGTTCCTTTAGCATTTGTTGTAAAGCTGGTTTGGTGGTGCTGAACTCTCTCAGCTTTTGCTTGTCTGTAAAGGTTTTAATTTCTCCATCAAATCTGAATGAGATCCTTGCTGGGTAGAGTAATCTTGGTTGCAGGTTTTTCTCCTTCATCTCTTTAAATATGTCCTGCCAGTCCCTTCTGGCTTGCAGAGTTTCTGCTGAGAGGTCAGCCATTAACCTTATGGGGATTCCCTTGTGTGTTATTTGTTGTTTTTCCCTTGCTGCTTTTAATATGTTTTCTTTGTATTTAATTTTTGACAGTTTGATTAATATGTGTCTTGGCGTATTTCTCCTTGGATTTTTCCTGTGTGGGACTCTCTGTGCTTCCTGGACTTGATTAACTATTTCCTTTCCCATATTAGGGATATTTTCAACTATAATCTCTTCAAATATTTTCTCAGTCCCTTTCTTTTTGTCTTCTTCTTCTGGAACCCCTATAATTCGAATGTTGGTGCGTTTAATGTTGTCCCAGAGGTCTCTGAGACTGTCATCAGCTCTTTTCATTCTTTTTTCTTTATTCTGCTCTGCAGTAGTTATTTCCACTACTTTATCTTCCAGGTCACGTATCCGTTCTTCTGCCTCAGTTATTCTGCTATTGATCCCATCTAGAGTCTTTTTCATTTCATTCATTGTGTTGTTCATCATTGTTTCATCTTTAGTTCTTCTAGGTCCTTGTTAAACGTTTCTTGCATTTTCTCTATTCTATTTCCAAGATTTTGGATCATCTTTACTATCATTATTCTGAATTCTTTTCAGGTAGACTGCCTATTTCCTCTTCATTTGTTAGGTCTGGTGGGTTTTTATCTTGCTCCTTCATCTGCTGTGTGTTTTTCTGTCTTCTCATTTTGCTTATCTTACTGTGTTTGGGGTCTCCTTTTTGCAGGCTGCACGTTCGTAGTTACTGTTGTTTTTGGTGTCTGTCCCCAGTGGTTAAGGTTGGTTCAGTGGGTTGTGTAGGTTTCCTGGTGGAGGGGACTAGTGCCTGTGTTCTGGTGGATGAGGCTGGATCTTGTCTTTCTGGTGGGCAGGTCCACGTCTGGTAGTGTGTTTTGGGGTGTCTGTGGACTTACTATGATTTTAGGAAGCCTCTCTGCTAATGGATGGGGTTGTGTTCCTGTCTTGCTAGTTGTTTGGCATAGGATGTCCAGCACTGTAGCTTGCTGGTCGTTGAGTGAAGCTGGGTGCTGGTGTTGAGATGGAGATCTCTGGGAGATTTTCGCCATTTGATATTATGTGGAGCTGGGAGGTCTCTTGTGGACCAGTGTCCTGAAGTTGGTTCTCCCACCTCAGAGGCACAGCACTGACTCCTGGCTGCAATACCAAGAGCCTTTCATCCATACAGCTCAGAATAAAAGTGAGAAAAAGTAGAAAGAAAGAATTAGCAGAAGTAGAAAGAAAGAAAGAAAGAAAGGAGGGAGGGAGGGAGGGAGGAAGGGAGGAAGGAAGGAGGGAAGGAAGGAAAAAAGAAAGAAAGAAGATAAAATAAAATAAAGATAAAATATAATAAAATTATTAAAATAAAAATATAATTATTAAGAAAAAATATTAAAAAACAAAAAAACGGATGGATAGAATCCTAGGACAAATGGTGGAAGCAAAGCTATACAGACAAAATCTCACACAGAAGCATACACACTCACAAAAAGAGGAAAAAGGGAAAAAATCATAAATCTTGCCCTCGAAGTCCACCTCCTCAATTTGGGATGACTCGTTGTCTATTCATGTGTTCCATAGATGCAGGGTACATCAAGTTGATTGTGGAGCTTTAATCCGCTGCTTCTGAGGCTGCTGGGAGAGATTTCCCTTTCTCTTCTTTGTTCTCACAGCTCCTGGGGCTCAGCTTTGGATTTGGCCCGCCTCTGCATGTAGGTCGCCTGAGGGCGTCTGTTCCCGCTCAGACAGGACGGGGTTAAAGGAGCCGCTGCTTCGGGGGTCTCTGGCTCACTCAGGCCGGGGGGAGGGAGGGGCAAACCTGCGGCGGCAGAGGCCGGTGTGACGTTGCACCAGCCTGAGGCCCGCCGTGCGTTCTCCCAGGGGAGTTGTCCCTGGATCCCGGGACCCTGGCAGTGGCCGGCTGCACAGGCTCCCCGGAAGGTAGGTGTGGAGAGTGACCTATGCTCGCACACAGGCTTCTTGGTGGCGGCAGCAGCAGCCTTAGCATCTCATGCCTGTCTCTGGGGTCCGCCGTGGCTCGCGCCCGTCTCTGGAGCTCCTTTAAGCAGCGCTCTTAATCCCTTCTCCTCGCGCACCAGGAAATAAAGAGGGAAGAAAAAGTCTCTTGCCTCTTCGGCAGGTCCAGACTTTTCCCCGGACTCCCTCCCAGCTAGCCGTGGCGCACTAACCCCCTGCAGGCTGTGTTCACGCCGCCAACCCCAGTCCTCTCCTGGTGCTCCGACCGAAGCCTGAGCCTCAACTCCCAGCCCCGCCCGCCCCGGCGGGTGAGCAGACAAGCCTCTCGGGCTGGTGAGTGCCGGTCGGCCCTGATCCTCTGTGCGGGAAGCTCTCCGCTTTGCCCTCCACACCCCTGTTGCTGTGCTGTCCTCCGCGGCTCCGAAGCTTCCCCCTCCGCCACCCTCTGTCTCCACCCGCGAACAGGCTTCCTAGTGTGTGGAAACATTTCCTCCTTCACAGCTCCCTCCCGCTGGTGCAGATCCCGTCCCTATCCTTTTGTCTCTGTTTATCCTTTTTTCTTTTGCCCTACCCAGGTACGTGGGGAGTTTCTTGCCTTTTGGGAGGTCTGAGGTCTCCTGCCAGCGTTCAGTAGGTGTTCTGTAGGAGTTGTTCCACGTGTAGATGTATTTCTGGCGTATCTGTGGGGAGGAAGGTGATCTCTGCATCTTACTCTTCCGCCATCTTCCCAGAAGCCTCCAGGGGGTTGTTTTTAAGGGATGAAAAATGATGAGGAAGGCAAAAAAAAAACTATGTAAAGAAAAATAACAAAATGAATGTATTTTTCTCTTGAATTGTAGGGTTTTTTTTCCTTTTTTTTTTTTTTTTTTTTTTTGCGGTATGCGGGCCTCTCACTGTTGTGGCCTCTCCCGTTGCGGAGCACAGGTTCCGGACGTGCAGGCTCAGCGGCCATGGCTCACGGGCCCAGCCGCTCCGCAGCATGTGGGATCCTCCCGGACCGGGGCACAAACCCGTGTCCCCTGCATCGACAGGCGGACTCCCAACCACTGCGCCACCAGGGAAGCCCTTGAATTGTGTTTTTAATGAGAAGATTTCTCCATCATGCCAACATGATATAATGGAAAGAAAAATGGACTGGAGTCAGAAAATCTGATTTAAATTTTGATGTTACCTGTTAATAGTCATGGGAATGTAAGCAATTCATTCTTGTTCTCATATAAATGATGCAAGTTGGACTAAGTTCTTTTTAAGGTAATTTCCAGATACTCTTTGACTCTAATATTTCCATTTGGTGGCAAATAATTCCTTAGGGGTTTGTTCTCAGTTTAACTGAAGACATACAGCAAACATAGCCAAGAGACAGGCCATAGAACCCTACAGATCTGCGTCTGATCTTGGTCCTGCCAATGTTCTGCAGTGTGATTTCATGTAAATTAGTCAGTTAATTAACTTCCTAAGTCTGAGTTTGCTCATCTGCATAACGCAGGTAATGCTGACTGTGGTAATGCATTGTTATACCCACTAAATAAGAATATGGATGTAAAGCATCAGGCTTACTGGGAGTGCTCAGCTCTGGTCATTGTTATCAGACTGTGAAAATCCCTAAACTTGCCTGTATCTTACTTGATTACTTGGAATAAATGTGCAAGTAAGTGAAAATTAAACTCCAATACTCTTTATAGTTCTCTAATGGCAGCAACTAATGAATACAAAATGAAATTAGAGAACTGGGATTTTAGAGGGGTATCATACACTAATAACACCTCCACATCATTCACAAAATTATAATCATTTTTAATTATCTTTGTAAAATGTGACTTTCCCATGTCCCCTGGGCAGATGTGAAAGCATGGAGCTGGATAATAAAATCTGCGATCTGATTGAGAGGAATGTTTCTCCTGATCCCAGAGGGGTCACCCCGGGACCAATGCCAAGTCACAGAAGTCCATGTTCTGTGAAGGTAAGAAAACATCTTCTTTCGCGGTTTCTCAATACACCCTTCAGCAGCGTGTTAACCGAGAAGAATGCATGGGGACAGTCCCCAAATCATTTACAGTAATGCACTTCCTTGATGGCTGAGAGGACAAAGTGAACCAGTACCAACTTCTCATACACAGTCACTTCCTGTTACCAAGGAAACCCTCAGCAGAAGCTCCTTCCAGTTTAAAGCGTGATACCAGGGGAAGCAGAGCTCAAGCCGCAAGAAAGAACACTTATTGCAGCGACAGCTCTTTTACTGGGAGGCGCTAACCTCATTTTTGTAAACCCACTTACACTAGGTTGCGAAAGTCTGCACAACTCACGTCCATTTTTTTGATGAAAGAACAAGGTTTTCCTGATTAGAGTTGTTTGACTTTGACTTTCCTCTTGTTTTAGGATATTTGTCTATAGTGCTTTATGTAAGCAAGTAAAATTCAAGGGTAAGCTCAAGCTAGGAATTTTGTGCATGACTTTCTAGAAATACATCATAAATGACAACATAAGCTCTTAAACTCTGCAGTCCTTCTGATTAGAAACCGTCTCTAATGATCATTTCAAAAGAGATCTAATGTAAGTAAATTAGAGAGCATGGCTGACATTAAAAACATTTACATAGGGCTTCCCTGGTGGCGCAGTGGTTGGGAGTCCGCCTGCCGATGCAGGGGACACGGGTTCGTGCCCCGATCCAGGAGGATCCCACATGCCGCGGAGCGGCTGGGCCTGTGAGCCATGGCCGCTGAGCCTGCACGTCCGGAGCCTGTGCTCCGCAACGGGAGAGGCCACAACAGTGAGAGGCCCGCATACCGCAAAAAAAAAAAAAAAAAAAAAAATTTACATAACTTCTGCTTTGGTTCTTAGTTCTAAAATAATTCATGCTCATTGTGGAAAAGCTATACTAAGCATAGAGAATACTATAAAAATCATGTAGAGACAGATTTATTGTGGAGCTAATTAAGCTTGGATTCCCCTAAACAAATATTTACTTTTGTAACTAATTAGCATTCACAGATTTGTGTCTTTTTCTCTTAAAGGAGGTCCTGGAATTGTATAAGCCTCAGGCCTCACCAAACATGTATCCGCCTCTGAAATCCCCTCCATGCCCACAGCTCCTAGAGAGCCTCTCTCAGCATTTGGGCTCTGTGTGTCTCCTTCTGTCACACACACACACACACACACACACACACACACACACACGTGCACACCCTGTTTTGTTAAACTCACCTTTTTTCACTTAATAAAATGTTGTGGATATTCCTATAACTCTTTCATTCATTTAATGACCAAATAGTATGGTGTGTGTTCTTCCCACTTCTCCCTGAAAAAGAAGTATTTCTTTTCAGAGTTAGAAATGACTGTCTGCTAATGATGAGGGGCAAGGAGGCTTTCCTCCCCTTTTCTTTCTTCTCTTCTCACTCCCACCCCCATACACATATCTCTAACTCCCAGTTAAGACTCCCTTCCTTCACGGAATGTGTGCTTCTTTGTAGTGGCCATCCTGTCTGATCCCGGAAAGAAATTTAATGATGAGAATTTGAATCCTCTCCAGTACCTCTGATCTGCATATTCTCTGATTATCAGCCCCCAAGACTCATTTGACTGACTTCCCTCCCCATTCCGTTCATTTTGTTTTCTGGATTCCTCCTTATGTGCTAAAGACCTCTTCTCCATCCTTATTGCTACTCTCTTGGAAGTTAGCTCGCTCTGTGCTGGGGACTTAACTGGAACTTCTACCTCTCTTTAAGATACTGTTTCCCCTATCACTTTGTTGATGAAATTGGCTCGTTTTCCAATACATATCCAGGCAAAGGAGAACAGGTACCTGGCTGATGTTTTTTATTGTCCTTGTGAAGTGTGAGGTAAAGACATCTACAGAGAATGAATGCGAGGGTAAACGTGAAGTCCAGTGGTTAACATAAGGGAAGATATGAAATGGCCATTGAGAGACTGAGAGACAGGAGAGAGGTGCAAAACTAAAATGAGTTGCTGAGTAGCAGTGAGGACCACTTAATAAGACCAGTCACTAAAGAGTGTTTGGGCTCCTAAATCTTCAATCTCTCCATCACCTCTTGCCAGCTTAATTCTCCTCAACTTTAAATATTTATGAGACCTCATGTTATTTTATGGGTTATGTTCTTTCTTTCTCACCATTAAGTATGATTTTATTTTATTTTTTAATTTTTTTATTCAAGTACAGTTGACTTACAATGTTGTGTTAGTTTCAGGTGTACAGCAAAGTGATATGTATATATTCTTTTCCAGATTCTTTTCCATTGTAGGTTATTACAAGATATTGAATGTAGTTCCCTGTGCTATACAGTAGGTCCTTGTTATTTATCTATTTTGTCTATAGTACTATGTCTCTGTTAATCCAAAACTCCTAATTTATCCCTCCCTCACCCCCATTTTAGGGGTAATGTTCTAACTGACTCTAATATATCATAGCCAAGCTTATTGATCATGACGTCCAAGACTTTGCAGCCCCTTATCACACCACTAATAAACTCTACCCTGATAAATCCACAGTCACTTTGCATCTGATTTTTCACTTGTCCTCCCATTTGCATTTGATACTATTCACTAATTCAACTTTCTTAAAATGTCTTACTCCATTTACATCTATAAAAGTATCCCTCAACACCCTCCTTTTTCCTCTGATCTTTTCTTCTCACCTTCACTGACTTCTCTTTCATCACCTGCCCGTGTTATACTAGTGTCACCCAGGGATCTGTCCGTAATCATTGGCTCACTAAACTACAAAATTTAGGCTGATGACTTCCGACACATACACCTACTAAAGGTCAAGTACTTTTCTATACTCATATCAACTTCACTCAGCATTTTCAAAGGTGAATTCAGTATCTTTCCTGTTAAAACTGCTCGTTTTCTTTTTTTCCACTCTCCATTTCCCACTTCCCAAAATGCACCCATGTCCCACCATTCCACAGTCCTCTAACAGACGATGCAGTTTCATGTACTATGCCTTTTCACATGCTGTTTATTCTTCATGGAAACCCTTGTCTCCTTGCCCATTGGATGAACTATCTTTTATGCCAAGGTTTGGACATTTCATGACTCTTTAGTCCCACAGAGTTCTCCAGCCCCCTTTTGCTCTGTCCTAAATAAATACCTTCTTTATACTTCATTCATAGGCTTTATCACCTTGGTTTTGTAATCATTTATGTATAGACATGTCTTCCCCACCGGTCATGGACTTCCTGTGGATGGGGTATAAAGTGTCATATTAATGTGTAAAGTATCACAACATAGGTTTTTCTAGAAGGTACCAGTGTTATGCAACATGTTTGTTTTCATGCACTGTGAGAAAACTAGATATACAAAATCAACTTATCTCTAGAATCCCTTCACAAATAATTCTCAAAGTCTACAGGGGAATATTGAATATACACTTATAAGTCCAGTTTCTCATCCTCAAGCTTTTGACTGCCAGTGATTGTCAGATGCCCACCTATCACTGCTGCTTCTAGACGTCAGCTTTACCACTCTCGGTGACATTGTTGTGGTACCACTCACTGTGACAAGTCAGCCTAATATTTGGATATATTCTCCAGAGCCCAAATGCAGCTAAATGCTATTGCTCTCTCCATTTCAATGGAAAGACCTTTCCTTTTGCAACTTTAGCTACACAGGCCCCTAATGCTACTTTACACATCCAGTGTTTGCCAGAAATATGTGTAACAGTTTGACTTTCATCCTTCTGCAGATGGGGAAACTGAGGCTCAGTGAAGCTAGATCATTTTCTCATGGTCCTATAGCTAGTAGAAATTGGTTCCTGGACCTAAAGCCAGATTTGTCTGGGTTGCCCTATATATCCTGCTCTTAACTTCCCCTCCCTCACATAAGAATCATTCGGTGACTGGGCCCAAGTTCAAGCTGGTATCAGGAATGATGCTATTGTCAGAGCAAACCCTCCTTTCTGGCTTAAAGCATCACCATTGGATCAAGCTTCTGTGCCTTTACTCTCTCTTTGAGGGTAAGATCTCCCAGGAAAAATCCCTGGAAATTTCTCTTTATCTCACGGACTTCTGGCATCTCCTCCTCAATTGTCATCTGAAGTATCTTAAAATATTTGATTCCTTAAGTAAACACAGCTTAGTTTCCAGCTGGAAGCTCTGCTGAATTACTGTTTACAATAGCACTCTGCAGAAGTAAATCCTACATTCAAAACAAACAAAAACTGTTGCATTCTCACTGAGATACTGATGGAACTAAAAAAAGTATAGGAAAAATCTTTTGGGGTAAGACAAGGGTGAGCCAATGACAGAAGAACTGTGGAGGGCATCTCTCATTTTTCCACTGGAGGAAGTAAGCATAAGAACGGTAAGGTAGACTCCCTTTCCAGGAAGAGGAAATGAACTTCTTTATGACATTATGAGATGGGAAGAGTGTGGCTGCATAAAAGAAATATGATTTAATGAAAACTCCTGAGACATATGTCATGTTCCTTTTTTGCTCTATCTTTGCCAAGAATAAGGAAAGAGGGAGAATTACTATAAGAGAAAATGAGCAGACTGACTCATTGCTTTGAGGAAACAGAAAAACATTATTGATGAACATGAGGAACTCCATCAGTATGAAAGCAGGTTTTAATATTGTGGGAGAGCTGAAGTAGACAGCTGGTGAACAGAAGGCATTGAAATTCTTATAGGCAAAGGACAAATAATTTTCTAAGTGAGATTAACATTCAATTCCAAAATGGGTGTTAAATGGAAGTTACACTAAACCAAGACACGGTCTTAATACTATGAGAAAATTAATATATGAACATTAATTTATGACCCTGTAATTGTATGTCTTCAAAGACAAAAGAAAGTGATAGGAGGCTTGAGATGTATTTCTTGGACAAACACATACATTCCAGTAATGCTTGGAAACAAGGGTGCCACTTGGGAAAGGGAAGGAAAAGTGTCCAAATTTTAAGAAGATATACCACAACTGAATTTGCTTAAGAGCATTGTCTTG